CTCCCCCACTCCTCCCCCTCCCCCACTCCTCCCCCTCCCCCACTCCTAATCATCCAGAGCCCCTGGGGAGGAGATCAAAGTGAACCCTCCCTTCCTACCTGCAGCTGGACTGGGGGCCACCAGGGCGTCCGATCTCCAGCAGGGGGTGGGGGGCAGCTGGGACGCTCTAGGGACATCAGAGGCTGGGATCTCGCTGGACCCCAAGCCTGTCTCTGTCCTATCCCAAGGGCAGGGCTTTCATCCCTCCTTTCTCACATCCTCCCTCCGGGCAGGACCTTCTCTGATCTTCCCCCACAAATCTCACACGGGCTCTTATAGGGGCACGTGTGCTCTGCACTAGGTTCCCAACCCCTGCAGCCAATGCCTGCCTCAGAATAGACGGCCCCCATCCCCACCCCCATCCATCTTTTTATCTGACTCTCTCCCAGCTCCTCTCAAAACCCTCCCATGGCTCCCCAGTGATCCGGAGGTAACGTCCAGACTCTGCTTGCCATTCAGTCGGCCCTCCCATGTCTGACCCCTCCAGCACCAGCACCGACAACAGAGGGGCTGGCTCTGTCCCTGCTTCAGACGGGGGGCTTCAGAATCTTTGGGGCTCCTGCACTGTTCAGCATGAGGCCGGATCCGCTGAATGAGTGAGTCCAGGAAGGAAGGAGGGAAGGACACAGCGCAGAGGCAGCTCCCTGCCAGGGTCCGCCTTGTTCTTGCTTTCCTCCTGCCCCCCCCCCCCCGGCCGCCCCCCCAGCGTCCAGGCCAGGGAATATTTGCTGGCTACCACCCGCAGGAAAACCCAGAGATATGCCGGTGTTTCTGCCAAACGCCCCCGCTCCCCGTGCCGGGTCTGCTCGAGGGATGCTCCCTGTGGGTTCCTGACCCACACGGGAGGCTGGTAAAAGTAAACACCGGGCACCTTTTCTCTTCAGGTGGGCCCTCCCCTGTCCAAGAATAAAGAACTCAAAGATGCTGCAGATCACGCGGGGAGCCCAGTTTGGATCCTGAATCTGCCTCTTGTTAGATGTGTGCCCTCTGGCAAGGGACTTCTGTAAAAGCCTGTTTTCTCTGTAGAATGGGCAAGAAGTAGTGTAAGATCCCCTAGGGATGTGGGATGAAAGGAGATGAGAAATGTAAATACAAAGCTTAGGTGAGGGGAGCCCGGCTGACTCAGACGTGGAGCGTGTGACTCTTGATCTCAGGGTCGTGAGTTCAAGCCCAACCTTGGGGGTAGAGATGACTTAAATCAATAAATAAGAACTTAAAAAAAAAAGATTTTATTTATTTTTGACACAGAGAGCGTGTACAGGCAGGGGAAGCAGCAGGCAGAGGGAGAAGCAGGCTCCCGCGGAGCAGGGAGCCCGACGTGGGGCTCGATCCCAGGACCCTGGGACCACGACCTGACCCGAAGGCAGACGCTTAACCGTTTGAGCCACCCAGGTGCCCCAATGAAGAAGAACTTTAAAAAAAATGTTAGAGAAACCTAGGCAAGTATTTTGAAACGTCGTGTAAGGCTGGGGCAAGAATTTCTTTAAATCACTTTCATTCTCCTGGAGAAACAGAGAAGGAGCATGCCCGGCAGGGAGGAAAGAATTGAGATTCTTGTCTCTCATCTCCTCCAAAGCGGTGACCCCTTATCTCCCGGCTCCCACGCTAGGTTATCTCGAGTCCCCATCACCCCACCCACACCCATTTTTCAGGCTCTTTTCCATTAAAAGAAAAAAAGTGGGTATTGGGGTGGGCGGTCTGCATCAGTGTGAAGTTCTGGGCTAGGACCCCCCTGGGGTGCCTGAGCCTCTGGTTTGTTAGTGGGTTCCTGTCTCCCCGTTTCTGTCTGCACTTTTGAATCTCCGCCCCTGTGCCCACCCTGCAGTCACTGGACGGGTATTTCCTGAGCTCCTGTGTGCCAGGCGTAGGCAGCTACCCCGTCCCTGCCTTCATGAGGATCAGAGTTCAGTGGGGGTACAGTTAATAGCTGGGGTCGGGGGGAGAGCAGATATCGGGGTTACGATGGGGGCAGCCCAGAGTACTGTATGACCGGCAGGGGAGAAGAGGGTGAGGAGAAAACTTTCTGGCTGAGACTCTTAAGAGCTAACAATTATACAAGATTTGATTTTATTTTATTTTTAAAGGAATCTCTCACCCAACGTGGGGCTGGAACTCAAGACCCTGAGATCAAGAATCGCACCCTCTATGGGCTGAGCCAGCCTGGCGCCCCTATATGACTTTTAGTGTACATTATACCCATTCTAGATCTGGGAAGACGGAAACCCCACAGAGTTAAAGGACTTGTCCCAGCCGGAACAGTTAGCAAGGGAGTGGGGCTGGATTTAGACCCCAGGTTTCTGGCTCCAGAGCGCAGGTGTCTAACCGCTGCTGGAGGAGGCGCGGAGGGGTGGAGAAATTGCACGCAAAGCTTGGGGGAACTTGAAACCGCTTGTGTGGTGACCCCGTCGTGGGAGGACCGTTGGAGGAGAGTGGGGAGGGGTTCTGAGCGCAGGCCTTGGGTGGTGTCGCATGCACCTGACTCACTGCGTCCCCGAGCACGCCCTCCCCGCTCTCCGGGCCTGTTTTATCGCGTGTGAAATGGGAGCCACTCGCCCCGCTTCCCTCCCGGCTTGGGTGAGAAAACCCACGTGGGGCATTTGGCAGAGTCAGCGCTCATTAAATGCCAGCTGGTGTTATGATGATTACCCCCATTATTATCCTTAATAACTAATTAATTAGAACTAATGCGTCCTCTCCGCGTGCGACTGGGTCTTTCCGGGCCGGCAAGTTGGGAAGTTACGGGACCCCGAGGAGTGGCGAGCTCAGGCTCAGAATTCTCCCCCATCCCCCACGCCCCCAGCCCACCCCGTCCTCCCCCGCCCACACATTAGGCCTCGTAAAGCTGCGGGCAGGCTAGGGTGGCGCGGGCCTGAAGGCAGGAGTCTGGGTGTGGGCGCCCCTTGCGTCGCCCCCCCAACCGGTGAGGGTCCCGCTAACGCCAAGGTGAGCCGTCGGGCGCTAGGACCGTCCCACCCCGTCGGCGCAGGGCGTGGGGGCCGGACTGGCCCCGAGGCCACGCCCCCCTCTGGTTAGTGGCTCTCGGGCCCCGGCGCGCGGCCCCGATTGGTGGAGGCGGCCGCCAGCATTCCCCGTCCCGCCCCACGCGGGCCTTAATCCGGGGTTCGGGGCCCTGCGGCTGCAGGCGCGCTCGGCCGGGCGGGCTTGGGCGGTGGCGCGGGGCGGGGGGGGCCGGGCGCTGACGGCTCGCGCGCGGGGGTTGCGTCGGGCCGGCCCGGGTACGGAGCGCGGCCATGGGCCCGGGGCCCCCGGCGGCCGGAGCGGGGGCGCCGCCGCGGCCACTGTCGGTGGCCGCGCGGCTGAGCTACGCGGTGGGCCACTTCCTCAACGACCTGTGCGCGTCCATGTGGTTCACCTACCTGCTGCTCTACCTGCACTCGGTGCGCGCCTACAGCTCGCGCGGCGCCGGCCTGCTGCTGCTGCTCGGCCAGGTGGCCGACGGGCTGTGCACGCCCCTCGTGGGCTACGAGGCCGACCGCGCCGCCGGCCACTGCGTCCGCTGCGGCCCCCGAAAGGCCTGGCACCTGGTCGGTAAGTCGCGGCCGAGCCTGTCCCCCCCCCTGGCTTGAGCCTCCCGCCTTCTGCCTGCCTGCCCCGGGGCCTGAGCCTCCCCCCTCTGCCTGCCCGCCCCGGGGGCCTGACCTCTCCTAGCCCGCTGCCTGCCTTGGGCTCCCGGCTCTGCCTGCCTGCCTGCCTGCCCTACTTACGTCCTGAACCTCCTCTGTCCCGCTGCTTAGTACCTTTCTACTGCCCCATCCTTCACCTCCTCCATTTGTCTGCTTAACTGCTCTGTACTTCTGCCACCTGACCACTCATGTGACCTTCCAGTGGCACTTCCCTTTGTCTTTCTGTCTGACCCCCATGGGCACCCTGAACCCTCTCTAGATTGGGTCTGACTGCCTGGTGCCACCTCTGTCAGCCGGCCTGGTCCGGCTTGACTTTTCCATTTGTCTGTCTGGGTGACAACTCTGTCCGAGTGAGGGTCAGGCTGCCTGGAGCCCCCTCTGTCAGTCTGTCCCATTTCTCCAGCGCACTCCTGCCCATCCTCTGCCCCATCATGGGGAACCTGGTGCTCGGGAGGTTTAGGGGTGCTGCGCTGGGGAGCCAAGACTTGGGGGCCAAATAAGACCGAAGAGGCAGGGGCCTGCGTGTGTCTGGCAGAGGAGGATGGGGTCTGCGGGCCCAACAGGGTCAGCGTGGGTCCTGGGGGAGTTGTCAGAACACCTCTGTTGGTGAGGGGAGGAGGCAGGTCCCCCAGGAGCTGAGGTGTCCTGCCCAGTGCACACACTTGATAAGGCCTGCCTCCCAGCATCCCTTCTCTGCCGCCATGGATCCTGGGCCATGAGATTAGCCCCAGCCGCTTTCTCTGCTGTTCTTTCCCTGGCAGAGGTGCCTGCTGCATCCTGGCATCTGGGTTCCGCTGGGCATTTCAGGAGACAGGCATAGGAATCCTGCCCAGTCCTGTGAATTCTGGGTGGCAGCTTTCTAGAAGATAGGAGGGGCTGACCACTGCCCTCCTTGCCCTTGGGAGCAGTGGCCAGGGAGGCAAGGATTCACCCTGGGCCCTGGCGAGTGCTGTTTTTGCAGGGTGCAGCAGATCTCCAAGTGGCCCAAGTGGCCGGATGTCAGGTTTCTTAGGCACTGAGGACACCCAGGCTGCTCTTGGGTCACTTGAGACCATAGCAGCCAGGGAGGGAAGCAGGGGGAGACAGGAGACTCCGACAGACTGGTGATCACCTTGTCTGAAAAACAGACGTGAGAGGTACCCGTCTTTGGGCCGACGTTGGGATTGCTTGCAGAGCTGAGCCTAGACTTCAATGCAGTTTTGTTCATAATAGATAAACTCATGGGGCGCCTGGGTGGCTCAGTTGGTTAAGCGACTGCCTTCGGCTCAGGTCATGATCCCGGAGTCCCGGGATCGAGTCCCGCATCGGGCTCCCTGCTCAGCGAGGAGCCTGCTTCTCCCTCTGGCCCTCCCCCCTCTCATGCTCTATCTCATGCTCTCTGTCTCTCATTCTCGCTCTCTCAAAATAAATAAATAAATCTTTAAAAAAAAAATAGATAAACTCATGGACAAACACACAAGACAGCTCCTAGGCCTGATAGGTGACAGAGGTGGGGAGTCTTTTCTCTGGGGCGGGCAAGGGAGACACCCCTGAGGAGACGGAGCCAGCTGTGGGAAGGTGGCTGAGCAGTGGACACTGCATGTGCCCCCAGGCCTGACTGTGTGCCCCTCTCGTAGGTGGGAGGGTCCACCTGACCCCGTAGGAAAGAATCTGAGTCCCCCCGGCAGAGGCAGGGGTTAGGCACCTTTGTAAATAAAGAACTGAAGGCTTTGTGTTTATGTAAAACAGGCCTGGGGGACCTCAAGGCCTCCATCTGCACCCCTTTTCTGCCTCAGGGTGAGCATGTGGGGAGATCCAGGAGGATCTGTGGAGAGAAGAAACTGGGGCAGCCCCTCTTGGCCTGATAAGTTGGCTTGAGTGAATCACCTTGGAAACAGTGCCCACTTCTCTTTATTTTTGCCTCTGAGCCTATGGGTGGTGGGTTCACTTTTCCCCTTAGCAGGCCCCCTGGGCTCCCCTGCTCTAGCCCAGAGAGGACCCTTCTAGCCCGGAGAGGACCCTTAGAGCCACACATGGATTTTTCCCGTGGGGTCCAGGCTGGGGCCTGTGGGTGAACTGGGTTTCATAAGGGAGAAGCGGAGCTCTGAAGCTTTGGGGATTTGAGGGATGAGTAGGAGTGTGTGTGGGAGGGGGCTTCCAACCCACTGAAAGAGCTGTGCAAGGGTGACACAGCACAGCTTTGAAGCTGCTGAGGCAGGAAGTGGCTGAGAGCCACAGGAGCTCCCACTTTCATACGTTAACTCCTGGTTCTCATGCTGACTTTGGGAGCTGGGTATTTTCAATGTCTGTACTTTTTTTTTTTTTAAAGATTTTATTTATTTATTTGACAGAGAGAGAGACACAGCGAGAGAGGGAACACAAGCAGGGGGAGTGGGAGAGGGAGAAGCAGGCTCCCTGCCAAGCAGGGAGCCCGATGTGAGGCTTGATCCCAGGACCCTGAGATCATGACCCGAGCCAAAGGCAGACGCATAATGACTGAGCCACCCAGGCGCCCCTCAATGTCTGTACTTTCTGGAAACTGTGGCCCAGGGAGGGAAAGTCACTTGCCCGAAGTCCCCCGGCCAGGCAGCCTCATCCAGGCAATGGTTAACCTGGCCTGGCCAGCTTCAGGGTAGATTCTGGCCAGGGCAGCACATTCTTCTGACCAGAGTCTACATAGTTTGTGCCTGGCCCTGAGGCGGCCCCGGGGGCCCCCAGGCATGAGCTTAGGTTGCCCCTCCCAGGCCCCAGTTCCAGAGAAAATAGCAAGGAAGGGTGCCTTTGCTTTCATTTCCCCATCCCAGGATGTGGAGGTAGCCCCAGGGCCTACGGCATGAGGTCCTGAGCCTGGAGGGAGAGGGGAAGGCCAGCTGCCAGGCCCAGCAGGGGAGGGTGCTGAGCTGGGCCTGTCCTGGCAGAGGGAAGGAGCATGGCTCAGGGCCCAGCGGCTCACACACTGAACCTGTCTTCATCTGGAAAGTGGGGAGAATAGGGACACCCACTTCTTGGGGCTGTAAGTGGATGACATTAGTATAATTATTCACTCACCCAAAAGATATGTGCCAGGCTCCGTGCTGGTGGCCAGGGCTCCAGAAGTGACCTCAAGAGACCTATTGCCCACTCTCCCAGAGCCCGGTCTCCGCTGGGGGAGGCAGACAGGAAACAAGCCGAGACAAAAGAATCCCTGTGTGGGCTAAGGCATGTGAGAGGAAAGCCGTGTTCAGATGGACTGTGTCAGCGCAGGGAGGGGACTGCTGGGGACTGTGGTGGTCAGGGAAGTGTCAGCACAGGGAGGGGACTGCTGGGGACTGCAGTGGTCAGGGAGAGCTTTGTTGAGGAGGTGGCATTTGAGTTCAGTCCTGAGGCACGAAAGGATGTGAGGGGAACAGTGGGCACAGCTGGTGCAAAGGCCCTGGGGCAGGACCGAGCCTGGTGTGCTGAGGCTAGGAGGCCTCCTGTGTGGCTGGAGCAAAGGTGGTGGTGGGGGGGCAGGTCCTGCAGGGCCTGTTGGCTGCCCCCGTGGACTTGGGCTTCTTCTGAGGTATCAGGTAAAGAAAAGACCCCCTCATGAGCTGATAGGGACACTGGGGCTCGGGGAGGGCAGGGTCCACTGTAGCTTCGCCCAGCATCACCTGGCCTCCCGACTGCTGGGCGCGCGGTGGGACGCTTGGCAGGAGCTGGGGGGAAGCCCTGTCAGGAGGCGGGAAAGCAAGCGTGTCTGTGGCGGGCAGTGCTCCAGGGGACCCCGCAGGTGCTCTGTGCTTCTGTTTCCCCACCTGTCACCAAGGGAGCACCCCTGGGGAGCCCGAGGCTAGCAGGGGGGAAGCCCCATTCCTGTCCTGTCTTATCACTTGGCCGTGGGTCCTGGCCCTGCTCCTGTCCTTGCAGCGCATGACCTTGGGAGCACAACAGCCCGTTGTACAAGTGTCTGTTTCCCCGTCAGACACTGGGGGCACATAACCTGAACTGACAGGTGGAGCCCTGCTGTCCTCTTGGGCTGCATGACCTCGGGGACCCCAGGGCTCCCTGCCTCGGTTTCCCCATTTTTTTAAGATTTTATTTATTTATTGGAGAGAGAGAGAGAGAGAGCGTGAGAGGGGAGAGGGTCAGAGGGAGAAGCAGACTCCCCGCCGAGCAGGGAGCCCGACGCGGGACTCGATCCCGGGACTCCAGGATCATGACCTGAGCCGAAGGCAGTCGCTTCACCAACTGAGCCACCCAGGCGCCCGTCGGTTTCCCCATTTGTCACAGGACCTACTCCCCAGGAAAGCCGTGGGCCGCGGACCCCCCACCCCAACTGTGACTGCGGCAGGGTCCCCACCCGGCCAGGCCCTGGGAGCCCGGGGCTGGTGCGGGAAGGCCCCGTGGTGTGACCTCCCCCCCGTCTGCTCACCCACAGGTACCATCTGTGTCCTGCTGTCCTTCCCCTTCATCTTCAGCCCGTGCCTGGGCTGCGGGGCAGCCACGCCCGAATGGGCCGCCCTCCTCTACTACGCGCCCTTCATCGTGATCTTCCAGTTCGGCTGGGCGGCGGCGCAGATCGCCCACCTCAGCCTCATCCCCGAGCTCGCCACCAGTGACCACGAGAAGGTGGAGCTCACGGCCCTCAGGTCCGGCCTCCGCGCGTGCACAGCGGGCCAGGCCGGGAGGCGGGGGCCCTTCTGCGTTCGGGCGCTGCTTGGCTGTGCGGCTCTGGGACAGCTGGTCCCCGCTCACGCGCCTGTAAAGCCGCATTAGTCGGCCGTTGCCGCGTTAGCGGCCACGGGCTGGCAGCTTCAGACAGCACGCACCTATCAGCTCACGGCTCCTGTGGGGTGGGGTCTGGCTCTGCTTAGCTGTATTTTCTTTTTTTTTTTTTAAATATTTGAGAGCGGGGGGGAGAGGGAGAATCTCAGACTCCACTCAGCGCGGAGCCTCACACGGGTCTCGATCTTGCGACCCTGAGGTCATGACCTGAGCGGAAACCAGGAGTTGGATGCTCGACCAACTGAGCCAGCCAGGCGCCCCACCACTTAGCTGTATTTTCTGCTCCGTGGTCTCCCGTCAGGGTACTGGTTAGGGCAGGGGTCTCAGCTTAGGTTTTTCTAAGGATTTCCTGATTAGGTCTGGGCCGCCCAGGATAATCTCCCTTAATTCTAGCTGCAGAATCCCTTTACCTTCACCACAAAATGTTGCCTCAACAAGGGGGTGACATCCCGTGTTCGTAGGTCCCCTCGCCCAGGGGAGGGACAAGACGGGGTGGGACCAGGGCCATCTTAGAATCCTGCCTGCAGGATGCAGCCAGCACTTGGCCTGTTGACTTGCTTGGGGTATTGACAGAGGTTCTGCTGGATAGGATGATAATAGGAGCATTTATGGAGTGCTTGCTGTGTGCAGGCACATTTCTAGGCCCTACACACCGGTTACTGTCTTTAATCCTCCTGGCCATCCCGAGATTTGTCACGTGTCCTTGAGAGGGTCTGAGCAGCATGCGTCCCGGTGGGACAGTGTGTGCCAGGAAGAGGGTAGGGGCTCGAGCTCCGGGAGGAAGGCCTAGAACAGGTGGTGGGGCCAGCGTGGCTGGAGCTCGGGGAAGGGCTGGCCCACGGGAGGGCGCCTGCGAGGTGTGCACGCCTCTTGCTGTCGTGGAAGCATCTTCAGTGCGACCCAGCCTGGCTTCCTCCCCACCCTGCCTTTGGGTTCCGCATTCGGGCGTGGCTGGCCCCAGTGACAGGGGTTGCCCAATGCCCAGGCCCCTGAGGGCCCCAGCTGGCGGGTGGCTTGTGAGACCAGGCTCTGGGGCATCTTCTACCGGCAGGCACTTCCCTGCCAGCCTTGTGGCCTCTTCACTTTGATCTCTGGGTATTGGTCCCACTCTCAGAAAGGGAAACTGAGTCCTCATGTGCGATCCAGAGGCTCTGCCCCCACACCCCCAGCCCCTGGAGGGGCACCGCTCCGGGGCTACAAGCAGGAGGGGCCCCAGATGCTTCCGGACCACGGAGCCCTGGCCCCGTCAAGGCCCAGGATCTGGGAACCAAGAATCCCCAATCCTGGCTTCTGAGCGTCTCAGATCTTCCCGGAGTCTCTGTACCCCCGGCCCCGGCAGCTGGGATGTCAGGGTGTAGTCGTGGGGTTGGCTGTCAGTCATCACATAACGGGGGGCAAGGGCTCTGCTGTGGCCACCCAGTGTTTGGCGGCCGAACGCCCCCCCAGCCAGAGATTCCCTGGAGGCCTGAAGTGGCTTTGGCAGCGTGGCCGGTGGCCGTGTGCTTTCCTGGGCCCCGCGCTGAAGCCCGCCCTGCCCCCGCCAGGTACGCCTTCACCGTGGTGGCCAGCATCACCGTGTACGGTGCCGCCTGGGTGCTGCTCCACCTGCAGGGCTCCCCGAGCTTGGGGGGGTCCCGCAGGGTCACTGACCAGCTGGGCATCCAAGACGTGCTGGTGTTCCAGGTGAGCGGGGCCTGGCTGGGACACCCCGGTGGCCCCAAACCCGGGGCCCGGGCTGAGAGCATGGCCGCTGACCCCTCTCTCCTGCCTGGCCTCCAGAACCTCTCCCTGCTGGTGGTGGGAGTTGGAGCCGTCTCTTCGCTGCTGTTCCATCTGGGCACCAGGGAAGGGCGCCGGCCTCGGGCGGAGGAGCCGGACGAGCACAGCCCGCTGCTGGCCCCCGCCACCGCCCGGCCCCTGCTGCTCTGGAAGCACTGGCTCCGAGAGCCGGCCTTCTATCAGGTGCACTGCCCCGGGGGGGGGGGGGGACAGGGGGGGGGGGGGTGCAGGGCTCTGGGCAGGGATGGTGGACATGGGGTGGGGGGGACACAGTTTCTTTGCCGCCCTCCCTCCGTCACTGCTCCCCGCCCACCAGCCTGGCGGCCAGTCACCACGAGCGGCTCACGTAGGCACCCCCCCCCGCAGCCCCCCGACCCGAGCCTTTGGTTTGCCTGCCCGCAGGTGGGCTTGCTGTACATGAGCACGAGGCTCATTGTGAACCTGTCCCAGACGTACATAGCCATGTATCTCACCTACTCCCTCAACCTGCCCAAGGTGAGCTGTGTGTGGGGGGGGCGCGGATGGCGCAGGGGGCGCGGCCCCGGCCTCCCGTGCCCACATCCACTCTGCCCCAACAGAAGTTCATCGCCACCATCCCGCTGGTGATGTACCTCAGCGGTTTCTGCTCCTCCTTCCTCATGAAGCCAGTCAACAAGTGCATCGGGAGGAATGTAAGTGGGCAGGATGGGCGGGGGGTGGGGGTGGGGGCCCCCACGGCTGAGGACGCCCGGGACCCCGAGAACCGGTGGCTCCGGACCGCGGCGTCCAGCCCGTGGCAGCCCCGGGTCTGGCTTCCGCGTGGCTCAGGGCTACAGCGCTCTAGGAGTCCGTGCTGCCTGGGGCCGTGGCCGGCGGTGGCCCGGAGCCCTGGAACTCTGGCCGCTGCAACTAAGAACTCGACACGTCACTGTGTTTGATTTTAATGGATCTGTGTCTGGCTGCAGCCAGCTCCGTCTCCACACAGCTGCCCAGGGCTGGCTTGGCACGCTTAGTGCCCCTGGCCCCAGAACCCTCTGAGGTCCGAGCTCGGGGTGCCGCAGGGAGGGGGTCCAGCTGGACCCCCTCCCTGCTGCGGCCGGGCATGGGGTACGGCCGGCTGAAGACCAGGGAGGGCAGGCGCCACGCAGTGAGGTGGCTCTGATGCTGGCCGGCTCCCCCGCAGCTGACCTACTTTGTGGGCCTCCTGGTGATCCTGGCCTTCGCCGCCTGGGTGGCACTGGCAGACGGGCTGGGCATGGCCGTGTATGCGGCGGCTGTGCTGCTGGGCACGGGCTGCGCCACCATCCTCGTCACCTCGCTGGCCATGACGGCCGACCTCATCGGCCCCCACACGGTGAGGCTGAGGGGCGGGGTTGGGGGCTGGGGGCCGCGGCTGGGCTGCGGGGGCTGACCTCCCTGCTCGTGTACCCAGCACAGCGGAGCCTTCGTGTACGGGGCCATGAGCTTCTCGGATAAAGTGGCCAATGGGCTGGCAGTCATGGCCATCCAGAGCCTGTATCCCTGCTCGTGAGTGCTCTTCGTTCACTTACTCGTTTAGTAAGAACGTGCTGTGCGTGCTGAGTGCCAGGCACTGCCCCAGGTCTGGGGGTTCGGCCTGGACGAAGGCCAGCACACGGGTGGGGCCCGCACACTGGGGAGACCCGCTTGTTCCTGACCTGTGGCACCTGGCAGGCTGTTGTGCGCTGGGGACACAGCGTCCGGACATACTGGGGAAGTAGGAGTGGGCAGGGCCAGGGCAAAGCCAGAATCTGTGTTCGGACCCTCAGAACCCAGGGTTCCGGATCCAGATGGTTCTAGACCACTCGGTGGAGACTTGTAGAAGCCTGGGATCTGGGAACAAAAGCCTGTTCCTCTGTCCTCACTGACTTGGGGGCAATACCGGCCCCTTTAATAAGCACAGAACTGTGTCATCCCAACCAGTGGCAAGGGGGTGTAGAAAACAGCACTCATGGAGACCTGTCTGGGGCAAGGGGTCAGGGAGGGCTTCCTTGAGGAGGTAACATGGGACCGGAGACCTGTTAGGGAGTTCCAGGCAAATGGGGAGGAACCACCAGTGCGAAGGTCCTGTGGTAGGACTGGGCTTGGCGTGTTGGAGGAACAGGGGGAGGCCCGTGCGGTTGGAGCAGAGTAAGGGCAGGGAGGGGATGGGGCAGATGTGGGAGGAGGGTGGGGGTGGTTGAGGGTGACCCCCGGGTTCTGGCTACCCAACAGCTGAGCAGGAGGTCCAGGCTGCAGGGACCTGACAGATGGCAACTCACCTGCTTCTGCCCTCCCCCTAGCTTGGAGATTTGCTGCAGGGCCTGCATGGGCTTCTACCGCTGGGTGATGGTGGCCGCCACTGGCGGTGTGGGCGTGGCCGCCACCCTCTGTCTCTGCAGCCTCCTCATCTGGCCCATTCGCCTGCGGAGTTGTGAGTCCCAGCCGCGCCCCACCCCCGCGGGCCAGGGGCTGGAGGGCTGGGTCCGGGGCAGCCCCCCCCCGCCACTGATTCCACCCCACCCCTTTCTCCTGCAGGGGACCCCGGAGCCCAGCCCTGATTCCACAGGCGCCACGGTTGCCGTCCTGTGCACATGAACTCTGTACGTTCCAGGCCCAGCTGAGGCCAGGAGCAGCCCTCCCTCCGTGCCGCCCCCACCTCCCATCCCTACCCCCCCCATCCTTGCTGGCTGTGGGGGCAGGACAGTCAGGATCCCAGACATGGAGCTCAGCCCTCTGGGATCCAGGGGTGCGCCCGGCTCACCCCTCACCCCAGGCTTGGGTGCAGTTTCCTACGTGCCGCCAGGTCCCTCGACCATGACGTGGTCAGTGAGCCTGACAGGAGCCTCAGGCGGGGGTAGGGAGGAGCAAGTCCCGTGCTCTGTGCCCAGGCCACTGCTGGACACGAATAAAGAGCCACCCGTGGGTGAGGGCTGTGGTCTCAGCTGTGTGCCCAGAGCCCAGAGTGCGGAGAGGACGGCTGGTGTGCCCTGCGTCTGTCCGCCTCTGGCCCAGTTTTGGTCACTGGCGTCTTGGTTGGGGGGGGCTCCCTTGATCTGGCCGCCGGATCACCCAAGGTCCCCGGGGTCCCCAGAGGTGGACGGATGCACGGGGGTGGGGTCCCTGCAGCGGGTGGTGTCGGGCAGCATGAACTTTATCAGTGGACGGGCGTGTAGATGGATGGCGGCCGCTGGCTGGTGGAGGGACAGTAAGGCTCCAGGTCCCATTGCCTGTAGTTCTGCGCGGTGTAGCGGGGGCGCTGGGCAACCGACAGGAACGGCACGTAGTCGGAGCCCTGCCGCGGTGACTCCGCCCGGTGCCGGGGCCTGTTGACCACTGTGGGGGGCCGGGACCCAGGTCACCGCCTGTCCCCGCGCAGTTTGAACCGCAGCCGAGGTGGCCTTGCTCCCCCGATCGCCCCCCCCTCCCCCCGCCCTGCTCACCGTATTCCTTGCCCCGGATGGGTCTGTCTGTCCACCACGTCCTGGGGGCCCTGTACTGGGCGGGGAGGGCAGGGTCGGACCAGGCGGTCTCCCGGAGGCGCTGGGTGTAGGCTGTTGGGGGCGGGGTAGGAAGTCATCTGTGGTCCTTGCCCCCCCTGCCCCTTGGGGCAGGCCAGGCTGAGCACTCACCCAAGGGCATGCTTTGCTCCCGGTGACCGTGACATCCATGCCATTGCGCATAGGCCTGGCGGTACGGGCTGTCCAGGGCCCGCGGGAGCCTGCACCGGGCTTCCCGGGACTCGGAGTTGGTCAGGCCGGTGTACCACAGCTGACTGGCTGCATCGCGCCCCATGGGGGCGTACTTCCAGCGCACTGCCTGCCTGATGGCCGGTGTCCAGCGGGGCCCCTCCACGGACAGGTAGTCATCGCTGAGGGGGTGAGGGCAGGAGACAGAGGCTGAGTCTGGGGCCCACCCCTGCCTCAAATGGGCCTTCTCACCCTCTGCCCTGCATTGCCGGCATGCGCACCCCCGGCCCCGCCCGGCAGAGGAGGGGGGGGGTGCTAAGCCCTGTAGTCCCCGCCCCTCTAACCCCCCGGGACCCTCATTAAAACGTCCACTGTGTCAGCACTTCCGGCCCGTCCCCCCCAGGGACAAGGGGTGGCAGGGGGGCGCCTGTGCCAGGAGGCCTCTGCTGCCAGAGCCCGTCCTAGGCTGGACATTAGGACAGCTTCCCTAAGGAGGCAGCTGCAGCCCAGTGCAGGTGGGTGTACAAAGGCCCTGGGGCAGCAGGGGACGGTGTAAGGAGCAGGGCTGCAGTGCAGAGATGGAAGTACGCTACCAACAATCAAGGTCGAGGGGCGCCCGGTGGCGCAGTCGGGGGAGCAAGTGACTCGATCTCGGGGTTGAGTTTGAGCCCCATGTTGGGTGTGGAGACGACTCAAAAATAAAATCTTAAAAACTGAATCTCTATGTGGTACCATTAAAAATAAAAGCAGGATAAAAAAACCCCAAAGTGGAAGAAACCCCCAAAGCTGCTAAAGCTGCAGGGAAACTTGCTTGGGCAGAAACTTCAAATGGCCGTTCCTTCCAGAAGGCCTGGTAGTAGCAGCACTGCCCGAGAAGACGAGCAGGCGCTTCGCCCCGGTGGTCGGGGCGCTGTTGACCACAGGCTCTTTCACCTGCGCCCTGCACAGCCCAGAGATCACGGAAAACTGGAAACCCACAGGTCTCCTTGAGGGTGGGTGAGCCTGGAAGGTTCTGGGACATCAGTCTTGGGAACCCGACACACACTGAGTTTGCCACGCGCTCAAAGGGGAACTTCACGATCATCTTGGGTACCCCGCCCTTGTGAAACAAACACTTCTGAACCGTAACGTGCCCAGGATTTGTAAAACACAATGACTATGGTCTAACGTAACGATGAGAAGTAGGTCTCTCTCGGTCAAATGTCAGTTTAACAAATGAAGAGCAGCACCTCAGAGCTGGACAAAAACCCCAAGCGAATGCTTGCTTGGTCCACAATCCAGAGAGTTCCTGCCCCTTGAAACAGCCTGAGGAAACAGTCCAGGTGAGCCACGGCCGCCGGCCCCTGCACCCGGGTTTCCAGCGTGTGCTGCACGTCCCCCTTCAGCACAGACGTGCAGTGGGGCGGCCCAAAGGCACCTGTCTTCCTACATCTGCACAGTCCCCCGTTACAGTGCATTTCCCCAGTCCGCTGCAGTGAAAGGGCCCCCCCAAATCCATGCCCACCTGGTATCTCAGAACCCCACTGGGAAACAGTCTCAGCAGACACAGTTGCTAAGCTGCAGGCCTCTGGGGCTGGGCTGGCCCTCGTGCAGTGCCTGGTGTCTCTGGAAGGGGGAGCCTGGACAGAGAAGGCTATGTGATGCCGGGGCACAGATCGGGGTGACGTGTCCTTAGAGGGCACCGAGGACTGCCAGAAACGCACTAGAACGGGGAGACCCTGCTCCCTTAGGCCCCAGAAGGAACCAGCCCTGACGACCCCTTGATCTCTGACTTGGGGCTTCCAGAACCGGGAGAGAGTAAATCTTTGTGGTTTCAGGCCCCAGCACCCCAGCCTGGTGGTTCTGTGAGAGGAGCTGCAGAAGACTCCTGGAGACACCTGGTCAGTTCTGCGGGCCATGCCCATGCCCACAGCGGAACCCTGACCTGCGGTGCCCACGCACACCCTGCTCTGGCCACAGGTGGGGAGGGGAGTACCAAGGTGCAGGTGGGGCAGGAGATGCGGGGTGCAGCCAGGTTAGGATGGGGTGAGGGTACAGCACCAACATGCCTTGACTGAAGAGTAAGTGACACACAAGAGAAGCCAAACCAAATGCCATCAGGCCTGAAACGCAGAGGTGGCGCATGGGGCCGTGGCGGGCACTCACCTGTACAGAGGTGCTGGGAAATCTGCTTCAAGGGTCCCCCGGGGGACGTAGGGCCGGGCAGCCTCCCGCCGCAGGGTCTGCATGTCTGCCTCTGGGTCCCCAGGGGCTCATGCCTGGAAGGCCTGTGGGGCCATTGTTGACAGTGACAAAGGCCACCCTCGGTGTCCCGGCAACGGTACTGGCCAGCGCTGGCCCCCACCCAGACAGCTCCCGCCCTCCCCCAGCGGAGGAGGTACGAGTGAGGCGGTGGCCGCGAGCCCCGGGCTCCCTGTGCCCGACCTGGGGCTCCCGCCTCCTCCTCTCTGGGCCCCTCACAACCACCCCGCGGGCTCTCTGGGCCGTGCCGTCCGGCGCACCCTTCCAGGAGCTCCAGCTGGGACGCCCCCCATTCCCAGCCCTCCCTCCTCACCCCCAACCCTGTCCCTCTTCTGCTTCTGAGATACACTCAGAGCCAGACCTGCAGGCATGCAGGCACAGCAGCTCGGTCCACAGTCCGCCAGTGCACCGAGGACACACAGACCACGGTCCCCCCGCGCTGCCCCGGGGACGGACCCCGAGCCCACGACGCTCGGGGAGGGAACCAGACACAGAAGGCCACACGGGGTGTGAGTCCATTTATGTGAAACATCCAGAACAGGCACATCCACGGACGGGAAGGGGGCTCGTGGGTGGTGGGGGGAGTGACAGCTGATGGGGACGGGGCTACAGAATGTTCTGGAGCCAGAGACAGCAGCACAACCTCACGAATGTACCAAAAATCACTGAATGACATCCTTTAAGATGGTAAATGGCAATGCATATTTTACCACAGTAACGAAAAACGTAACAAGAACTGGAAATGTGCCTGCCCCTCACTTGCACCTGCTCCTGGCTGCCTGGGCCGCGCCTCCTTCTGGCTCTGTGCCCGGCCCTGCTGCTGGGTCTCACGGCAGTCTCCTCCCTTCCCTCTCGGTGCACAGCCAGGGCTCCCGCCGCCTCGGGGTAGGAGCCCACGTCCCTGCAGCCCCCGCCCTGTCCCCTCCCCTGTGCGGCTCCAGAGGCTCCGCAGGGATTGCGCCCTCTGTCTGCAGCGCCACCCCTGCTCCCTGCTCTCCGGGCCCCTGATCACACAGCTCAATCTCTGGATTCAAAGGTGCCCTTCCCCAGGGCCTCCTGCCCCTGCCCCGTCGCAGCCACACGTGCTTCCCACCGTCCACCACAGACGGGGCCCATGAGGGCAGGCGCGGCGGTCTGGTGCCTCTGGTCCCCACTGCCCCGGACAGGGCTCCTCACCTGCAGGGAAGAGCCTGGGTGCCGGCCAGCCGTGGGCAGCTGCTCGCTGTAGGGGGGGCTCACCCCTCTTCTCAGGAACCCCTGGGGCCCCCTGACCTGCCGGGTCCTGCTAGAGTCACCACTCCTCTGGCCTGGGCTGGCTTTCCTCTCCGGCCCCAAGACCCTCTGCTCCCCTTGATCACCTCCAAATCCCCCTCTCCTATGGTCCTCATGGCGTCCTCAGCCCCCGCTCCTGCCGCCCCCCCACGTCCTCCCCTGCGGCCTCCCCGCCCCCCACGGGCCCCTGCCCCTGGCCTGTGCCTCACGCCCCACGACTACTAAATCACCTTCCCTTTCCCGCAAAAGCCACATTCAAGGATCAACAGAAACAACTCTTGCCTGCCCCCCCCGCCAGCCTCCCCTGAGATGCTGGGCCAGCGAGGTCACCCACTGGCCTCAGTTTCCCCGCCTGTCAGGTGGAGGTGGCAGCAGCGCCTGCCCCACCTGAGAGCTGCTGTGCGGCCCCCTCACCCCTAACCGCCCCCCCGTCCTCGTCTGCCCCCCGCCCCCGGCCCCCTCACCCCTAACCGCCCCCCCGTCCTCGT